TCAGTCCCAACATGGTAAGTTTAACATGGAAAGACTAAAAATACAAGTTCATGATTGAGCAATTATTCAACAGGGGAAAGAATTTAGCATGCTAAACATGGTCAGAACATTAGAAGAGTTCAAGAGGCATGTTGCTAGGGGTCAACAGGGTAGGAATATGTCTAACTAGCACCCATTGATTTCATTTAGAGGAGAATATTGAGATAGGCTCTAAAAGCCTTAGGCAGCACTAAAGAATCAGCACAAACTGGAGAGTACATATTTCAATTTACAAGCAGCAGGAAGCATGTTATGTTGTTTACCAGTTTAGGCAGTATTAACACTTAGAAATCATATGATTCATGGATAAATCAATAAGGTAACATGGATAAATTCAGAAGAAAGACAAGTTCTAGGCATAAGTCAGTTTACCATAAGAAATTTGAAGCAAGTAGAGTGATGAAACCAGGACAATAGCAGACATGAGAATTCAAGCGCACACAAACATATTAGGCCAAACGTGCTTAAGAGAACTGGAAGCAGGGTTAGAATATAAGCAAGTTCAGGTGCTAGAAAATTTAAGAGCCATAAAATAACTTTAGAGCAAATAAGGATGCAAACAGAGAGGGCATGATAACATATTGATTCACAAAAGTTTCAATGGCATGAGTGTACAGAGAATGAACACAAATAAAAGTGGATGAAACTGCGAAGGCCAAGAACTTACCAGTTACCAATTGACGAACAAGTAAACAAAAGAACAAGTAAACTTCAATCGTCAGTAGCAAAGAGTACAGCAGAATCCAAAATCTCAGTTTGTCAGAGTTCCCAAGGGTTTCAGATGAACCCCGGGCAGTGCTTATACTGAGAAAGGTCAAACAATCGAATTTCGGTGGCCTTGGCTTTCACCCAACCAAGAGTCCAGGTTTCAGAATAGTATAGAATGAGTGAGAGTGAGAGTGAGATAATAACAGTGATTAATATCTATTTTAGGGGAGTTAGGGGAGGGGTTTTATAGTGTTCAATTAACAAAAATCAGAGAAGGAAAACATCAATCGAATCACAAAAATAACAAAAGAGTAGCATCCAAAATCGATTTTGAATCAGATTAGGAGAAAAACCAAACAAACCGTAGTTTGACAGAAATCAAAGATTGGCCAAAGATCTTGGTGAATCAGACCTATATAGCCTTGTTATGACCGTATACATACGAAATATCGTCTGGATCTTAATGAGTAAAGCCAATTTTCCTTGATTAGGAGCATGGTACTTGCCAAAAATGGGCACGTACTAAGTAATACCATAATCATGTAAGTAACAACTAGGCATAACACATAAGGTAAGTGAATCATGGAATGATTTCATATTTAGCTCAGAATCAGAGAGGATTAAGGAAGGAGGCTGCTAGGGTTTCACAGAAGAGAGAAGATGATGGTTGAGAGTGTTTGGGGGCGGTGGTTTGGAGATAAGGGGTTAAAGTTTCAGAGGTGTGGGTAATAAAAATAAGGGGGAGGCTGTGGGCCGTTGATCTTTGAGATCAACAGCCAGAATTTAATGAGAGGCGGATCGGGTCAGCGGACAAGTATAGGGTAGTGGGTTGTGAGTATTGGGCTAGGGGTTATTGGGTTGATGTTTGGGGTATTTGACTGGTGGATTTGGGCCGGAAATTTTGCTTGTTTAGGGCCAGATTTTAAATAAAACAATTTAAGGAAAAAATAAATTAATAAAATAGCTAAATAAATATAAAAAATACTAATTATACAACTTAATATTTTAAAAATAATGGCTGAAGATTGTAGAATATAAAACATTATTTTGATCTTAAATAAAATAATAAATGCAATTAATTGTAAAGTATATGCTATTATTGTAAAAATATGTAAATAGCATAAAAATAAAAATATAATTATATAAAATAAAGTAAAACATTATAAAATATTTATGTGAATATTAATAATAAATTTGGATGATTAGATCACCCCAAAATAATTTGAAGGGATAATTAATAAATATTTGAATAATTTAAATGCAAAAAAATTAATTTTAAAGCTTAAATATTATAGAACTACGTATCTGACCCCTATAAATTGGGTAATAGTCCAAAACCTTATATTTTAAAAGTATATATTATATGAGGGAAAAATTAGATATCAACAGCTGCCCCTATTTACCCGAAAAGTATGAAAGAGTTGTCGGGTAAAGAAAATAATGATCAATTTTGTCCGAATGAATAAGTACGAGGTATTTTGAAAAATGGGGGTCGAACCCTAGTTTCTGAGTTGTCTACATATCCCAAGTGTTATGGGAATTAGGTCATGTGTAGTTTTAGATCCAGCGGTGAACGAAGCCGGTGAATGTTATGAACAAAAACTGGAGCGAGAATTGCTCCTGTTTGTAGAACGGTTACCCCCCGAGTTACCTTCAAAACTTAAAACATGATGCACGTGAATTTATATAGTTATTGCAGAAATTTAAAAATGATGCACATTCCCTTAGGACGATGAGAGTTGTATTTCGGACGATGAGGATGATGTCCTTAGACCATAACGTCATGGGCAATGAAGCGTAAGATAAGGAATTAGCGGGCCATGAAATATTTTCCTCGGGCCATAAGGATGGTATCTCTGGACTATGACGCCTTTGAATAATGATATGCAATTTTGATAGATCCTCAGGACATGGCATGATGTCTTCGGGCTATGAGGATGATGCCCTCAGACTATGACGCCTTCGGAAATTGTGGTGATGTTTTAGCCCATGAAATGAAAGGATGCATTGATATTGATTGCCTGATAGAGGGAATGGGTGATGCTTAGTCATATGCGAGAATGAGACAAGGCAACGCTTAGCCTTGTATGAGATGAGGGCAATGCTTAGCCCTATGTAGGTGAAGGCAATGTTTAGCCTTATGCAAGTGATGGAGCTAGTACTTAGCCTCATGCAAAGTAATGAGGGTCGTGCTTAGACCTATGCAAGTGAAGGCAGTGTTTAGCCTTATACAATGATGGAGGCAGTGCTTAGACTCATGCAATGTAATGGAAACAGTGCTTAGTCTCATGCAGGTGAACGCAGTGCTTAGCCTTATGCAAGGTGGAGGCAGTGCTTAGCCTCATGTGAAGTAATGAGGGTAGTGTTTAGCCTTAAGCAATGTGATGAGGGCAGTAGTTAGCCCTATGCAGAGAAAGGCAGTGTTTAGCCTTATGAAATAATGGGGGCAGTGCTTAGCCTCATGCAAAGTAATGAGAGTAGTGCTTAGCCCTATGCAGAGAAAGGCAGTGATTAAATATGAGGAAGAAAAGTGATTCTTAGCAGAACGTGTTTGGGCTTTGTGGCTTCCGTCAGTGTGAATATATTTGTGGACATACTCATCAATGTTATGTCCGTTATGCCTACATCTAAAGAAAAATTGTGAGTTTGGGGGGAAGGTCGGTTCGTGCTGCTCATTTCGCCTCCGCTCCTATCTTGACGCCTTGTTCGAGTCACCCTGGGTAATATCTGGCTATTACAGAAATGAAGTTTTAAAAATATGCATTTTCGCTAAATCGTTTAAAAATAAGGCATTGGTTTTTAAAAGATAATACATAAAGGTGAGTAATTTGGTCGAATCATAGGCCGTGACATACTTTGAGATGGTGCAACCTTCTTAACTCGAAATTTTGAGGATCACCCCAAAATTATGCCCCAGTTTGATGTATACTTTTGGCGATACTCTTTTGGTGATCCTTGACGTAATGAGATTGACGAAAACTTGAAATCTTGCCCTAGTTTCTTACCGTAGAGGGGAATAAGGATTTTATTATAATATGACTGAACCCACAGGGCTGCCTACGCATCCCCTCTTAAACGAGAATCAGGTCAAGCGTAGTACATCTTACATCAAAAGAAAGTTCAAATATAATCTCAAACGTAATATCTCTTGACGGTGTCCGAATTGATAGGTTTCAGCCATATCTCCCCATCCATTTCTGCAAGTATGAGCGCTCCTCCTGTCACTACTTGGTGAACCATGTAAGGACCTTGCCAGTTTGGTGAGAATTTTCTTTTTTCTTCGTCCAGATGTGTAAAGATCCATTTTAACACCAATTGCCCCGGTATGAATTGCCTCGGTCTAACTTTCTTATTGAAAGCCCTTGCCATTCTATTCTGGTAGAGTTGACTGTGACACACCGTATTCATCCTTTTACCGTTAATAAGAGCCAATTGCTCATACTGGCTCTGTATCCATTCCACATCACTGAGCTCGACTTCCTGTATGATTCTTAGGGAATGAATTTCATCCTCGGCGGGTGTGACAGCTTCAGTACCATAGACCAGTAAATATGGTGTTTACCCAGTTGACGTGCGGACCGTGGTGCAGTACCCGAGAAGAGCAAACAATAGATTCTCATGACATTTCTTGTAATTGTCCACCATCTTCCTCAATATCTTCTTGTTGTTCTTGTTGGCGGCTTCTACAGCTCCATTCATTTATGGCCTATATGATGTAGAGTTCCGGTGCTTGATTTTTAATGTTTCACACATGGCTTTCATCATCACTATTGAGATCGGCAGCATTGTCGGTAATAATTAATTCAAGTACTCTGAATCAGTAGACGATACGATCCTGGACAAAGTTTGCTATGACCTTCTTAGTCACAACTTTATAGGAAGCGGCTTCGACCCATTTTGTGAAGTAATCTATGGCTACCAAGATGAATCTGTATCCGTTGGAAGGAGCGAGTTCAATCAGTCCTATGACATCTATGCCCCAGGTGGAGAAAGGCCAAGGTGAACTCATTGCATTGAGTTCACTGGGTGGTACCCGTATCATATCAGCATATACCTGACATTGGTGGCACTTCTGTACATATTTGATGTAGTTCGTCTCCATAGTCATCCAGAAATACCCTGCCTTTGATATCTTCTTGGCTAGAACAAACATGTTCATGTGAGGTCCGCAAGTTTCGACATGTATCTCTTCGAGCAACCTAGATGCCTCCTTGGCATCAACAAATCGTATCTGACCCAAGTCGGGAGTCTTTCTATACAGAATTTATCCGCTCTAAAAGAAGTGGTTGGCCAATCTCCAAAGCGTGCGCTTCTGCGTGTGTGTAGCATTTTTTGCGGTATTCTCCTTTTTCTAAGTACTCCTTGATATCGGGAAACCATGGATTCCCATCGAACTCTTCTTCAACAAGAGCATGATAAGCTTGCTGCTTACTAATTTCTATTAGGATGGGATCAATAAAGTTCTTGTCTAGATGTTGTATCATGGAAGGCAAGTTAGCCAGCACATCAGCGAACTTGTTCTGAATTCTAGGAACATGTTTAAACTCTATCTTTGAGAACCTCTTGATAAGATCTTGCACACAGTATAGGTATAGAAATATCATGGTGTTCTTGGTGGCCCATTCTCTAAGTACCTGATGTATAAGCAAATCTAAATCTCCAATTACCACCAATCCCTGAATATTCATGTCGATGGACGAACTGAGTCCCAAGATACAAGCCTCGTATTCCACTTTATTGTTGGTGCACGGGAACCTGAGCTTGATGGATACCGAATAATGTTGATCGGTTTCTGATACCAAAATAGCTTTGATGACCACTCTTTTGAAGTTTGCGGCTCCGTTGGAAAACATCCTCCAGCCTTCATATGCCTCGTCGATATCCTCTCTTACGAAAGATACCTCCTCATCAGTAAAATACGTCTTTAATAATTTGTATTATCCATCCACGGGGTTCTCTGCCAGGTGATCACCCAATGCTTGCCATTTGACTGCCTTATGAGTCATATAGATAATGTCTATCTCAATTAGCAGTATTTGCCATTTTGCTAGCTTACTCGTAGAATAGGCTTCTGAAAGATGTATTTTAGCAGATCCATCCTTGATATGATATATAGGGTGTATGCATAAAAACAATGTCTCAACTTTTGGGCTATCCACGTCAGGGCGCAACAGGTATGTTCCAACAAAGAGTACTGAGCTTCGTAAGGCGTGAACTTCTTACTCAGATAGTATATTTCTTGCTCTTTCCTTCCAGTTTCATCATGTTGTCCCAATACGCAACCAAAGGCTCCATCTAACATAGACAGGTACAGTAGCAAAGGTCTCCCAGGTTCAGGTGGACCAACACAGGTGGTTTGGAGAGATACTCCTTGATTTTATCGAAAGCCTTTTGACACTCTTCAGTCCAATTCGTCGTAACATCCTTCCTCGGGATCTTGAAGATTGGCTCACATATTACCATCAGATATTCTATAAAGTAGCTGACATGATTGAGACGGCCCAAGAAACTCATTACGTCCTTCCTTTTCTTTGGCGGTGGCAAATTTTGAATAGCTTTGATCTTTGACGGGTCCAACTCAATGCCTAGCGATTTGCCTGCAGGGACTCCGTAAGGACATTTTGTAGGATTCAACCTCAGATTATACTTTTGTAGTCGGTCCAAAAACTTTCTCAGGTCTGCTATGTGATCTGAACTCGTCTTAGACTTGATGATGCCATCATCCACGTACACCTCTATTTCCTTATGTATCATATCTTGAAAGAGAGTAGTAATGGCCCTCATGTAAGTTGCCTTGGCGTTCTTCAAACCAAATGGCCTCATCTTGTAGTAGTATTCCCATGGCGTGATGAAGCAATCCATGAAGGATTGGAGTTCCTGCTTGGCATAGTTATCGATCAGGTTGTATATACTGGGTAGCGGGAAATCATCCTTAGGACTCGCTCGGTTCAGATCTCGATAATCGACGCACATCCTGACTTTCCCATCCTTCTTTGGTACCGGCATAATGTTGTCTATCTAGCTTGGGTACTCAACCACCCGAAGGACCTTGTCTTTGATTTGCATGGTAACCTCATCTTTTATCTTCAAACTCATATCTGGCTTGAATTTTCTGAGTTTCTGCTTTACCGGTGGACGCATAGGATTGGTAGGTAGCTTGTGATCTACTATGGATATGCTCAATCTTGTCATATTATTATAGGACCATGCAAAAATATCTTCATATTCCTTTAGGAATCTTATGTACTTTTCCTTCTCTGATGGCGATAGATGAATGCTAATGCGAGTTTCTTTGACTTTTTCAGAACCCCCTAAGTTAATTGCCTCAGATTCTTCCAGATTGGACTTTGGTTTGTTCTCAATATCCTCTACTTCTTTGACAATTTCCTCAAGTATTACATCATTTTCCCAATCTTCAGAATCACTCTCCTCATGTTGCGTTGTCTCATTACATGTCACAGTCGTAGATTCAATAGGATAGGTAATAATTATGCTGAAAAAGAATGATAATATTAATTATGCTGAAAAAGAATGATAATATTAATTATGCTGAAAAAGAATGATAATAATATAAATAAACAAAAACTAATGATGCATTAATTAAAACTTAAAATTATCAAACAAATACAACTTGATGTCTCGAGTAATTATTTCAAAACAAAATACTAAAAATGTCTTAAATGCCAGAAAACAATTTTAACAGAAATCATGCTAGTTCTGACATGGCTACCCAGGTGCTCTGTGAGACCGGGATGGTGTAGCGGTCTAGTTATTGAGAACGGCTCCATCCCCCTCTTTCTGAATGTTAAGGTCTTCCTCCTCATCCTTCTCCAAGGTTGCACTGCAGTCCATATCTTCCTCGTTCAGAAACAGGTTCCTCATACTGGCTAAGACCTCGTCCTCTTCAGATCCCCACATCATATCAGTCTGACAGAATGTCTGGTATAGCGGTGGTATGGGTTGTTCCAATGGATAGTAGAAATCATGCCATAGTAGTGTCTAATTATTATATTCCTATACAGTGTATTTGTACCCGAGACCAAAGATCATGCCATGATATTGTGGTCGTAATTATTCTGTGATCTCCTGAAGCTTAGGACCAAGACCCTTAGTTGATTCATACCCTAACCACAACAGTATGCTTAGCACCTAGTTTCTCCACCATCGTCCTTTCTCGACTATATTCACCCGATCAATGTTGTGGAATGTCTCTCCTCCTAATTTCCTTCTATTCTTAATGGTTGGCACAATCTGGTTGGTATAGATAGGATTACTTCCATCCTCGTGGATAACTACCTCTTGGTGATTAAACTCGAACTTCACATCCTGATGTAGAGTAGAAGCAACTGCCCCAGCCGTGTGTATCCATGGTCGTCCTAACAATAAGTTATAGGTAGCGGATGTATCCAGCACCTAGAATTAAACCTCGACCCAGGTTGGGCCCATCTGTAGATCCAGGTTAATCTCTCCAATAGTAGCTCTTTAAGATCCATCAAATGCTTTCACGTTCATGCTTCCCATCCGTATCTTATGTAGACCTATACCCAATATTTGTAGAGTAGTCAGAGGGATATGTTCGGACTTGAACCCCCATTGATCAAAACCTGAGCAATGAACTTGTTTCATATTGCACAGTGATGTGCGATGCTTTGTTATGACCTAGTCCTTCTGGCAGTAACTCGTCTTCATGGAAAGTAATCTTGTAACTCTCCAGTACCTGCCCCACAATGTTTTCCATCTCTACACTAGTGATACCGGTAGGTACGTAGGCTTCACTTAACACCTTCATCAAGGCATTCTTGTGTGCATCTGAATTTTGTAATAGTGACAGGATGGATATTTGGGCGGGAGTCTTTTTTAGGTGATCAACAACAGAGTACTCCCTCGCTTGTACCTTCCTCCAACGATCATCAACACCTGTCTCCACAACATGTGGTTTTGGTGCGGTTTCTTTACTCTTTCCTCATAGATTTTACGGTGTGTAAACCCTGTCGGTTCTAGTCATCCCCTAGGCGGCACCCGTTTCTTCCATCTTGGCTTTTCCCTTTCTTCTTTCTTCCACTACATAATCCTATGGAACAACATCAAACTCGTAGGATAGCGATAGAGCTAAGATCACAGTGAAGGGTGTAGCTTCCTCAACCTCGAACGGTGCCTTGGTCTATACCACAATTTGCGAGAGTATGATAGGAGATTTCTTAGGAGTGTCTCCCTCTCGAATAAGGCCAATGGATACTTTCCTGGTCCCATTCTTCATCAGTCTCAATCACATTCACCCCTTCACCCCTATGATAAGGAAGGGGGATATTGCGAATATTCGGTGCAGACTCTTTCACCATATAATCTTGGTGTCAATTAATGTCTGGATTTTATCTTTTAACATTTGGCATTCCTCGATAGTATGTCCCTTCATGCCTGAGTGATAGGCATAAGTCTTGTTGGGATTGACTAACTGAGAAGGGTTTTCAATAGCAACTATAGGAATAGGAGTGACATAACTGGCGGCCTTCAGTCTCTCATATAATTGGGCTATGTTCTCGGCGATAGGGGTGTATTGTCTGGGAGTTCTGCGGTCGAAGTTTGGTTGGGGTTTTGGGTAGTTTTGACATACGGGAGGAGAAGAATAGTAGTATGATTGTTGGGTATTGTAGGTGTGGTAGGTGGTGGCGGGGTAATGGTATTTTGGAGGTGAGGGTTGATATGTTGGTGGAGGTATCTGATAGGTAAGGGGAGACTTAGGGCCCTGGGCTACCATCACGGTACCCACTTCCTTCTTTTTCGAGATGTCCATAGACTGTAAGGCTTTATTGGAAGCTTGCAGCACCACAAAGTTAGTAACCATACCACTCTTGATTCCCTCTTCTATTCTTTCTCCCAACTGATGATGTCGGAGAACTTGTGATTCTCTATAACCATCAATCTCTCATAGTACTGTGGATCTTGGGTTCTAACAAAGAATTTATTCATTTTTTTTTCTTCTAACATTGGCCTCACCTTGGAAGCCTCTAATCTCTAGCGAGTAGCATACTCGCGAAAGGTCTCCGTTGGATTCTTCTTGAGGTTCTAGATATAGAAAACGTCTAGTGTGTTTTCTGTGTTGAACCTGAATTTGTCCACGAAATCAGATGCCATACTTACCCAGCTAGACCACTTCTTTGGATTATGACTGATGTACCAGGATAAATCATCCCTGGTGAGACTTCGCATGAACAACTTCATGCGGATTTGTTTGTTCTTGCCCACTCCTACAACTTTGTCATAGTAGATCCTCAAATGCACCTAGGGATCACCGGTGCCATCAAACATCTCAAACTTAGGAGGTTTGTAACCCTTTGGTAGCTCCACGTCTGGCTGGATACACAGATCTTTATAATTCAAACCTTCAACACCTTTTCCACCCTCAACACTCTGGACTCTTCCAGTTAACTTCTTTAACTCTTCAGTCATGTTCCGGATGAGTAGGTCCTTCTCATATGGTTTGGGTATGTATAGTGTTTGTTATGGGGTGTGTGGTAGGGTCTTCACGTATATCGGGTTGCCTTGATATATTCCTAGGACTTGGGTATATGAGGGATCATTGATTGAGGTCTAAGGTGGATCAGGGGTTGGTTGTGGCACGTTCTGAGAGGTATGATAGGTAGTGGTTTGCGGATACTTGGTTGTGTGATAGTGGTGTTGCTAAGGGGTTTGTAATGGTGGAGGGTTAAGGTTTTGTGGGTTACACCCCATGTTTTCGTACGTGGAAGTACGCTATAAGTAAATTGATAGAAGCTCAGAAATGAGATGTTACATCCCGCATTTTCGTACATTAAAGTTTCGTCGTAAGCTAATCGACGTAAGCTCGGAAATCAGATTATCTTGAGATTATAAGCATTATACTATTACAAACAAGTGATGAGTAAATTCGTGAAGGTGAGAGGGTAAGCAAATCAAAGAAAATGAATTTCGTAAAAATTTGACATTTTGGGACAAAATGCGGTCTAAGCTATAATATCCGAAAATTATGGACTAGTGCCATACAAGGTACCACATGACCATCATAGTGAGGTGTATAAGGTGCGCTAAAAATGAGCAATATTTATGTAATTTGAGATAATTCTTAATTATGTAGATAATTGGGTATTATTGGTTAATGGAAGATTAACGAGTTAATTAAGATGATTGGTGGTTAATTGTTGGGAATGGATAACAACCAACGTGGCAGCCCAACCTTCAAACTAATGACTCTTAAATTAAATTGAAAGGTGGCAAATTAAAGGCATGTGGTTAAGCCACCACATGAAGTGGGCCCACATCCATTCAAACACAAATTTATGACCATTTTACTTCATTTGGCCTTTTGGATCTTCAAGAGATTCAAATATAGTTCTCTTTGTATTACAAAGTCACGTTAGTATATCTTGAAAGAATACATCTCATTTTCCTACTACAATACCAAATAAACATGATGTAACACATGGTAGGAATTTGGTTTATGTTACTGTTGTGAGTGTATTTGGTGTGTTCTCATTCTTGGAAAGCCTATTATAAACGTTCACCCTTCATTTGGTATGCAGAAGGAGTTAACAAACGTTCAGCACCCTTAGTTAAGGATAATTCTTTGGGAATTCATGCCTTGAGGATAATTCTTTTGAATATGATCCAAGTTTGAATGTTCATCTACGACCTTCTCGAGTTCTTATGAGAAATTAAGGTATGTTAAGGCTATCCCATCTTTCTTTTGGCGTGATCTATACGACACAAACGAAACGAGCAAATGCACAATTTTCATAAATGACTCTATTCATAGAAATACTAGAGATGCTTATGTTCTTGATTCCCCATGAGTCATATTATTCTATCATCTATTCATGGGTCTCAGAAAATACTTAAGTTGATAAAGTTTATTTCATGATATTAATCAAAGGCATAATGGTCTTATGACAATTTTGAGGGATTTTATTGACGTACTTCTTATGCATTGCATTCATGTACATTGACCCATGACCAGATGGCGTTATATATGC